TTCTTCCCTCTTCCCTATCTCTTTTCCTTTCTCTCCAGTCGTCTATTGCTAGGTGCGTTAGTCCATTCACATGCTATAATAATAATAGACTCATCACTATCTGATGCAAATCAACTGACCTCGTTCCTTGATGCTGTGAAATTATTCCTCAAAGAGCAAGTTTCGGCAATTGCTAAATTCAACATTATAAGGTACAATTAATTTACATATGTTTACTCGTCATGATATACAAACATTTTACGTGTATATTCTGTGATGTGGCCTGCAGGTGTACCGGAGGTCTGACTAGTTTTGCCGATAACTTGTTAAAAGTGTTGCCAGGTGTTGTGCAGGAGGGGATCGAGTGGTTGGATGAGGCTCATTCCAGTTCATTCAATGCACCAATGACTAATAACCTCATAGAAGCTGTCACTAGAGCTATTGCTTGTGAAGGAGTGAGTTACAATATTAAATATTGGTAGTACTATTAAATAGAGCTGAAACAGATGTGGTATTTCACTATCCGGATATCCTGTTGAAATTTCTTTCGGATATTTGCCGGATAGTTAATTAATAAAAGTTAATTAGTCAGTGACTGCAGACATCAAAAAAGCAAAGTTTTTATTTCCCAGGATGTTATTCTTGTACATTTCTGGTAGTTAAGAAGCTCAAAAATGATTAAAAAGTGACTGACAAGGTTGGTAGCTTCAAGAACTTACTCTTTTATTGCTGGTCATTAACTGACAGAATTGCATTAATTAGTTATAAAGTCTAGTTATTAAGTTTAATTATCCTATTTGTCAAAAATTACTATCCGGATACTAAATTTATAAACGGATATCTGGATAATCAGGATATCTGTTTCAGCTCTACTATTAAATGCAAGTGCGAGTTACACTATTAATAGCATTATTATTAAATATAAATGCAGTTAATTTTATTATAAGTATTTTATTTTTCTCTTTTCCCTCTAGAATGATGCAGTATACATATTAACTCAAGGGCGCTCTGCATTAAGAAGCTATTCTTCTTTATTCAACATGCTCCAGTTGTCACATGTACCAGTTAATATTAGTGTGTATGAGTGCACTGATCCTGGAGCACTGGATGATTATAAGGAATTGTGTAGAGTATGCAATGGAAGGCAAGGAATATAATTATTGTCCTATAATATGAACTATGATTGTTTGTTCTCTCCTTTCTTTCTCTCCTCTTTTTCTCTTCCCTCCCTCCCTCTCTTTCTTTCTCTCCTTCTCTCTCTCTCCCCCCCTCTCTCTCTCTCCTTCTCTTTCACAGGTTACATGTGTATAATCCAAAGTCCCCAGTATATGATCCCATTGCTCCAGTCTCTTCACGTCCTTCATCTGCCGCCAGCTCCATTAACAGCACTTCCTCAAGAACAAAGTTAGCCTGCAAAAAATTCAAATTATAAATTTTCTTTTTTTAGGACTCCACCGTCCCTGCCCCGAGATGATGTCCTCCTCGTGTGGGAGGAGCTTGAGAGGGGGCGTGACACTCTAGCAGAGATACAGTTGATACAGTTGGAGAAGCAGACGGTTGGAAGGAGCGATAAGCATCCACTGCCTAAACCTTGCAAAGAAGAATACATGTCATCAATACAGTGGATTGATGTGAGATAGAGTTATACTTGCATT